AAGAGACAGAAGAAGGAGACAGAAGAAAGAGACAACGAAGAAGAGAGACAGAAGAAAGAGACAATGAAGAAGAGAGACAATGAAGAAGAGAGACAACGAAGAAGAGAGACAATGAAGAAGAGAGACAGAAGAAATCTGAAGCCTCACGAATAACGGGGTCTCTGGAGACAGAAGAAATCTCCAGCAGCAAATCGGCTGCATGCAGAGGCCCGCTTAAAAAGGAGACAGAGCAGCAAGCCAGAGGCTTGTCTGCTATATAGTGAGCAAACAACTCTGCGCGCAAACCCTAAACCCTAAACCCTAAACCCTAAACCCTAAACCCTAAATCCTAGATAGTTAACGTGATATAATACGCAGGAAACAATTTACAATATACCACAAATAATAAAACAACATCAAACACTAAACCCTAAACAAACGATAAGCAATAAATAATAAAGCGTAAACCCTAAACCCTATTAAACCCTACTAAACCCTAAACCCTCAGTTATTAATAGTGTATTATTCAGTTATACCTGCTGCTCCAGCCTCCCACACTTGTCTACAAAAAGGATAATAAACATAAATCAGCAGCTGCGTCGGCTGTACGCGCACCAGAGGCTGCAAACCCCGCTGCAAACACGAGACATAACGACCACCCTGGGGGCCCCCCCTTGAGGGGCCCCCCTCTAAGAGGCCCCCCCCTGGGGGCCCCCCCTCTAAGGGGCCCCCCGCAGGGGGCCCCCCTTCCAAGCGGCCCCGCTCTAAGGCGCCCCCCCCTGGGGGGCCCCCTTCTAAGGGGCCCCCCTTTGAGGGGCCCCCCTCGGGGGGCCCCCCACAAACAGGGCACAGGAGGACGGGGGCCCCCCCTGACTTTAGGGCCCCCTTGGGGGGCCCCCCCTTTAACTCTGTACCTGGGGGCCCCTGTACCCTGTCTTCAAGCGGGGGCCCCCCAGGGCCATCGTATGCATCGTTGAGGGGCCCCCACCCTGGAGGGAAGTCTGCTGAAGCCTCTATCTTGTAAACAATTTTGTCTCTGTCTCCAATGAAAACTTGATGAATAAAAGAAGAAGGAGAATCGGCAGAAAGACAAAAAGTACTTACACCACGAGAAGGAGTGGGTATGCCGCTGCACAAAGAAAAAGAAAAAAGAAAAAAGAAAAACCCTAAACCCTAAACCCTACTAAACCCTAAACCCTAAACGCTAACGAAGGGCAGAAGCTGCGATAACCCTGCTGCTTTGATGCAGCAGCAGCAGCTGCTGCAGCAGCAGAAGCAGCAGCACCAGAAAAAGCAGTAGCAAGCGCACAAAAAGCAGCACCAGCAGCAGCAGCAACTGCAGCAGCAGCAGCAACGACAACATAATCAACAGGAGCAACAGCTGCTGTTGCAGCAGCAGCAGCAGCAGCAGCAACGGCAACAACATCAACAGGAGCAACAACTCCTGCTGCAGCAGCAACAGCAGCAGCAGCAACAGCAGCAGCAGACGAACTCAAGAAGAATACTGTGTAGTGTCTCTTGCAATAAGGCGTTTGGGGGGCAGCTGAGCCCCAGACAATCTTCCTCCCAGGGTGTGGGTACACCTGAAGGCTGGGGTGTACAGGCACTTCGGTTTGCGTCGCTCATGCTGCTGCTGCTGCTGCTGCTGCTTCTATTGGTGCTGCTGCTGCAGAAGAGAAGGGGTGGTTAAGGGGGGCCCCTCAAACTGGGGCCTCGCGGGCCCCTCAAGAATCCCTGTAGCAGGTGGTGTTATTAATATTCATTTGTTTGTTTTATTTTATTGAAATTAAAAACAAAAAAAGAAAAGAAACAACAAATAACAAGAAAGTAGGGGGGCCCCCATGCATCGATCGGGTCGGCTCACGGGGGCCCCCAGGGTTGGGGGGCCCCCTACATCAGTTTGTTCGTCTGTTTACTTGCTGCTATCCACACACAAAGAATAAATTAAATAATGCTTCACTGATAATAAAAAATAAAATTCATCAGTAGGGCATACACCTCACAATTCCAAAAGGCAACAGCAGCATGAACTGCAGCAGCAGCAGCATTAGCAGCAACAACTGCTGCTGCTGCTGCTAATGCTGCTGAACCCACCTCTTCTCCCTAATTTCTTCTCCTTTTTCTGCACTAAGTTGCGCATTTGTATTATCTTTTTGTGCATAAAGTCGATTTCATTTCAACTACAAACAGGGGGCCCCCTGGGGCCCATTGAGGAGGTCCTGAACCCTCACCCCCCAACCATGGGGGCCCCTGGGGGCCCCCCTCTCGTATTCGAGAGAGAAGAAGAGGAGTCGCAGCTGCCGCAAGCACTGACACCTGATCTCGCTGCTGAAGTCAAGGAGGCCCTGGGCATCGAGGGGCCCCCCTACTTGTCCTGCCTCTCCCGGGAGCAAAGTAAGGATTCGGGGGGCCCCCAAGAGGGGGCCCCCCAAGGAGGGGGCCCCCAAGGCGGATACCTTCAGGGCGGGGGGGCCCAGAGGGGCCCCTACGGGGGCTGCATGGGGGCCTCCCCATCCACTGGGGCTCACTCGGGTGTAGGCGCAGTAAACGCGCAGCAGCACTTCGGTACAAACTCCACACTGCACTCCGATGGGGGCCCCTCAGCCCCTTCGGGTTGGCTGCCTTTGGGGGGCTCTGATGTTGCAGGGGTTGGAGTTGCTGCTGTCTCGTTACCTTCTTTTTGCAGCGGAGAGACAGAGAAAAGCAGCAACTCCTGGACATCCCCCACACAAATCCTAAACCCTAAACCCTAAGCTTCGCAGGCTAGAAGGCGAGGGTTTAGGGTTTAAGGCAGCCTTTGGCTGTGAGCCTGAACTGGCATTTTACCCCTTCTAGCCGGCTAGCTAGCTAGCTAGCTAGCTAGCTAGCTAGCTAGCTAGAAGGAAAGAGACCGAGGCATAACTTGCATTCCTCACACACAGCTGTACGAGGAAGGTCTTAACTACCCCCCTATCCAATGCACTGAAACTCTCGATAAAGAGAGTCCATCATACAACGAAATATGTTTTGCAAAGCAGAGCCAAGAAATACAAACGAAACTTGAGAAAATATGTCGACTTCGGCCTATAGCACATATTCACCTTCAGGGTATTCAATACGCCCCCCATCCAGCAGGCAGTATACGAGAGCGCCGGAAATCCGCCGAGGGGCTCTTCTAAAGGGAAAAAGCTTCAAATAAATGAAATAATTTCTTTTTTCCCTTCAGATATGCTGAAAGTTCGCATTAAAAGAGGAGGATCGGGCGCGGTGGGTGCCTGGGTTAATTGCAAATTCAGGTGTATGTGCACTTCAACGTTTATGCTGATTCAGAAACCCGTAAAGCTGTCGATCACGGAAAGCGGATAGAATCTGAATTTCTATTTTTGTGGGTTTATATTCGTTCCTTTCATCGTGATGAGGAGACGTTTGTTCACTTTTTATGTATTATTTTTACTTCTTTTCTGCTTCCCACTTAAGATCATGGGAGAAGAAGAAGAAGGACCTCCGTTTCGATTTGAGCCGTTTCCCCCTTACACAGGAAACCTGAAAGGTTTCTACCCTCGTGGTCGCGCTAAAGAGTGAGAATCTGTTGAAATTTGCTGCATTTTACGATTGCAAATTATTATTAATTAAAAATAGACTTTTCTCCCATTCATAGACAGATTATTTCATAGTTTTCCTTTTTTTCAAACAATTTCTACATAGGGAAGCTGCGATGCTCTACACCGCAGCCACTTTTCCGAATCCATTTAGCGAGCCCGAAAGATGCATGTTTTCCACTCGGTGTGTAATTATATATTTCTTTTCTCCTTTTTCTTCTCTTTTTTCTTCAGGTTTCGCTCATAATACCTTTTATTTCGCTCATAATACCTTTTATTTCGTTCATATTACCATCTATGTCGTAGCAAAACACACTCCTGGTTCTGCGATCCAGAAAAATTACTCCCCCCTCAAGAACAAGCAGAACTTGAATTGGCACTCCTCAAAGTTCGTGATGAACGTGCACATTCTTGTGCTGACGGAAAGCTGCATCATTTTCAGGTATCTTCATATAAAAATAAAAATAAACATATATATAAATAAGAGTTTATACATATACTATATATATAGATGTTTCTAAGTAGATGTGGAATGCGGGCCGATCAAATTCTCCTTTTTCTTTAGCTTGCAGTTGCTGTAATGCCTTCCCTCCTCGTCACGGAGACGCAGTCTGTTCAAGAAGCAGCAGATGCGATGGCTAGCCAACTGCTGCGGTACTTCTGCATGCACTTCATCTCCAGTTATCTGTCTTTGCTCCAACTTAAGCCGCACACAGACGCTGGGCAATCGGCAACAAGCCCTGCCACGACGGCCTCCTGCTCATGTTTGTTAAGAACCACTTAGTCGTTTCACTCGTAGGCCGCGGTAAGCACCCCAACGCTACAGCTAGCTAGCTAGCTAGCTAGCTAGCTAGCTAGCTATATCTAGCTAGCCTGTTTGTTATGATGGAATGCGCCCACAGAGAACGTCGCACCCGCCTACATCAGCCCGGTAAGCTCCCATACATATGCGCTTAGCCGGAGTAAACCCTAAACCCTAAACCCTAAACCCTCCCTTCCGCGAAGCTGTTTGTCTCCTTCTTAAAAGCAAGACTGAATCTGACGTACCTCGCCTCTGGCTCTGTGGGCGCAACACTCATAACCGGAGTGGAGTTGATAGGGAGCCAGCTGCCCCAGGCCCCCACCGGTAAGCCCTAAACCCTAATAAACCCTAAACCCTAAACCCTAAAAGATGCTTTCGGTGTGCAGGACTTAGCTGGGTTGCCTATCTAATCATTGCCTTGGTTATCTGTTACATCCTATCGGTGGCTATTGTCTACCAAGTGCTCTCGTACACCTTGGGGAAGCGGTTTGATGCAGGAGATTAAACCCTAAACCCTAAACCCTAAACCCTAAACCATTAACCCTGAACCCTCAATGGGGGGACGGCTTGTGGCCGTCTACAAAAAAGTTTCGCGTTATGGGGGGCAGACGAATCCTCTCGCCGCTAAAAGCCTCATTGACCCGTATCTGGCACCCTAGCCGCGACCTGAACACACAAAAAAATAGCCCTCAAACCCTAACGGTTAGGGTTTAGGGTTTAGGGTTTAGGAGATTAGGAGGCATACTGCAAAGAAAGTAGGCTAGGGTGTAGGGATTTGTGTTTAAGCTGTAGACTGGCAGATATAGTAGGTTAGGGTTTAGGGTTTAGGGTTTCGAGTGTACCCTGCAGACAAAGTAGGGAAATGTTTAGGGTGTAGCTGGGAGACGCAGTGTCTTAGGGTTTAGGGTTTAGGGTTTGGGGTGTACGTGTCTGTGAGGCAAGCCGCGAGGTCTAGCATATCATCTTCTTCGTCTGAAGGTTCTTTCAGGGCCGCGTACAGCTTCTCGCTGAGTATGACGTGGCAGGTGGAGCACGAGCACTGCCCCTCACAAGCTCCTGTACATACACCCCAAACCCTAAACCCTAAACCCTAAAACCCTAAGCCCTAAACCCTAGTAGGTCCCAAACCCTCTTCGTCTCCCGCGACCCCAGCAGCACTACACTACTACTAAGCAAACCTGAAGAGAACGCCGACAGAGAGAACATTCGAAAGGCTCAGCTTCTAGGGTTTAGTGTTTAGGGTTTAGGGTTTAGGGTTTAGGGTTTAGAGGCTACCTTCTATGGGGACACCGTTGGAATGAGCCGCCTCTAAGACGGTGCAGCCTTCTGGAACCTTCACGGGGGTTTCTTTGCCGTCTTCTTCAACAAAAACAAACGAACTGCAAGCGCAACAGATATAGGGTTTAGGGTTTAGGGTTTAGGGTTTAGGGTTTGCTGATTCCGAGGCCCCTCTGCTGCAGCCAGTCAGGCATTAAGGCCTGCTAGCATTCACGCATACACCTACAACCCCCTGTTCTACATGCAGAAACCTAGGGTTTAGGGTTTAGGGTTTAGGGTTTACATTAGGTTTTCCTCATTTGAGGGAGGGCTGCGGGAGTGCA